AAATTGAGTGGGCTTCGGAGGACGGTGGAAGACAGGAGGGCCTGGCGTGATCTTGTCCATGGGGTCGCAAAGAGTCGGACTCGACTGTGCGACTGAACAACAACAAAAGGCATTTAGACCTAGCAATGGTGTGGGTACAGCCATCTGCTGTTAGGCTGAAATGGCTGGCAACCATTTCAGCACTCTGTTTTGCTTCCTTTCTCTTGTATGTGGGGGGAGCACAATGGTTGCAGCCATTTCAGCCTAAAAGTGGGGCTGCCAGCCATTTCAGTGCTCTGTTTCACTTCCCCCCACTTCAAAGCAGGGGGAGCAAAACAAATGGGTTTAATGGCTCACAGAGATTGAAATTTAACAGCTGATGGGTGGACCGATGCCAGTTAGTGGTTAGGCTTAAATGGCCCAAACAGCTGAATCAAACCAGACAAAAGTTTGGGAAATTCGGGAGGAAGGTGCCTTCCCTGAACATCGGTTCAAGGGCTCAGAACCAGGCTAGGTTTGTGTAGAATTTTGTCTCATGAACCAGTTTGTGCCCATCCCTATTGACCAGTGCTATAACCATTATTGCACATCTCCAAAGGAAACCACAGAACTAAACAATTCTGGAAGTATAAGAGTAAACAAAACATCCTTATACTCAGAATTTGTTTTACAGAGATAATCATAGCAAGCAATTTAACTATCATAATCTGAAGAAGATAAAAGATTATTTAAAACTGCTATTTCATACTGTTGTCCTGAAGCCTTTTTCTTTGGATAGTATGACAGCACCCTCTAGTGGGAGCTAGAATAAGGGAGTAATTCCAGTTACATGCTTTTTAAGAAAAGGAATTTTACTAATAAAGAGAGCTGTCTTTAATCAACAACACTGTGAGATGATGATCTTGCAATTTCTTATCCACATAAATAATATCAGAGGTGCATCAATCATGGAATAATGTGTGCAGTTTTAGGAAATGGACAGTCACTCCACAGACCCTGCAACTTTGCCAGGGCTTCAGGGGAAATCTGTGTGCTGTGAGCAGCACCACAACTCTTCTTTGGTCCTTTAAGATTTGTTAGCACCACTTGGGCTAAAATGTGTCTCCAGCATAACCACAATGCTAGGTATGGCGTTTTGGTGCTCAAGGGATCACAAAAACCCATAGCTGATGTTTATTTATTTATTAAAAGATGTGTATCCTGCCTTTCCTCTTGGTTCAAGGTAGATGAAGCAACGGAAGGGTGGCTTGTCAGATTTTGCAGCAAAACAGTACTGATCGTGTTCCCCATAGACTTTGTCTTTCTTTTGCCTGCAATTGCTATCAGATGTAATTACACTATAGAAAAGACAGGTAAAAACTAGTCTAGTTTCAGAAAAAGAGGATTCTGTAATGTGCTCCTTTACACCCAAACAAGGCAAAACTTCTAGATGCAGAGAGTACAGTATTGCAAAATTGCAAAAAATGCAAAATACCTCTAGAGCTGGCAAAAACAAAAGTATGCTAAATCTCTGTCTTTGGAGCCACTGTACTTACATGCCCAAACTGGGTATGAACAAGCACAGCCTTCTCCCCCCAAATCATGTACAGAACTAAAATTATTCCAATCCCATGAGAAACTATTGTAGATATGATGAGACAGTGCAAAAACAAGCAAGCAAGCGTTTTATGCTTCTGTTGTCTCATAGTTACAAAAGGGCACATTCTGAGCTAAACCTTCTGTATCTCTAAGGCCGATTATGCACACACGTCTTACAGTAAACCTTTAATCTCGATTTTGGAATGTGCCCACCTTATGCACCATTCTTTTTCTTCCAGTGTATTTATTCTGCAGTTACAATTTTAAAAGCAAACTTTTCTAAATTGGGTTGGAACATCACTTGTGACATGTAGGGGTGGCATCCAAAGTTGTGTTTTTTATTGCACAGTAGTGTCCAGCAAGCACCTTCCATTTAAATCCTCGTGATTCAGGTTTTGTGCATGCATTTTAGCATTAGTTCATTAAATGAAAGGGAACAGAAAGGAACACAGGCGAAGGGGGGAAATCAACTTTTGAAACTGACTATACTTCTTCTGAAAGTGACAAGCAGCTGTGAAACACTGTTTACCATATTGCCAAGCCCTAAGGAATTGATTCTCTGTTGTGTTGCTGATCACTGAAAAATGAGAGTCACACGCTCTCATAATATGGGGGAATATGCTGAGTGTACAGAATGCATGGTAGAACCCACTGGCATTGCAAGCTGTGTTCAACGGCAATATGTGTGTTTGTGCGCACGCGTGATTCTTAAGTTTGGCGGTTCACAGAAGCTCCATGTGGCTCAGCCACCATTTTAATGTTAGGCTTCCAGAAACTGCCAAAATGCCCCCCCCCCCATTCATGAAAGCATAAAAGAGAAAAATGATTTCTTGGTGGGTAAACATTTTTTAAAAAAATTTAAAGTTTCAGCGGGACAGAGTTAAGCAAGGATGTGTAGATCATCTCGATCAAGTTAGCACCATGGAAGCAAATCTTAAATAAATACTTCACTTTAGGATGGAAATCAGTGGAACCCAATCCTAGGCATGCCTACTTGAAAGTAAGTCCCACTGAGTTCTGTGGGGCTTACTACCAAGTAAGTATCCCTGGGATTTCAGCCTGCAAGTATTCATCTATTGCTGGATCACTCCCAAAGTTTTCTTGAGTTTCCTAGAGAAGGTTTAACAACTTTTTGTTCAGTCCATGAAGTCTGCTTGAGAAAGGAGGGAAAGGATCCATCCCACCTGCAGGTTCACAGAGCAACCCTATGGGAATATGTATTGAAGAGTGGCTGAGTGTTGGCGCTCGCAACTTTCCCTTGCCCCCCACATAAGTGGTTTTCTATTTACCTGTTTAAGCAAACAGTGCCACCCTCCTGGGGCTTTAAGCTTCCCATCCCAGTGTCTGTCTCTCTTTACATCTTGTGTCAATTTCATTCCACACTGATGATTCCCCCCCCCAAATTTTGTTTCCATGCAGCACTAAAATCCTTTTTTTTTTTTGCACTGGGGATGCTGCCATTTTTTTCCTAGAATCATAGAATCACAGAGTTGGAAGGGGCCATACAGGCTATCTAGTTCAACATCCTGCTCAATGCAGGATCAGCCTAGAGCATCCCTGACAGGTATCCTCTCTGATCCCCTTTCAAGTCAAGCCCTTTCAGAGCATTCCTGACAAGTGTCCTCTACAATCCCCCTTTCAAGTCAATACCAGCAGGGAACTAAACCAGGCACAACTCCTTGTAAACTCACCCCCCCCTCCCCGGTCATTTTTTTTTTTATGACAAATGGGATGAGACTAGCATTAGTGTCATATCACTAGACCCATGCTACTTGTAAAAAAAAATTAAAAATAAGGGTGAAATGGAGCTTGTACACCGATGAAGGGAGGAGGATGGTGAGTGGGAGGAACAACCTCAGTGTGGGTGGTGGAGGGGCCTTTGAGGGGTGGGGAAAGGGTAGGGGGAAGAGAAGGGAATCTGTATGCTTTAGAATTACCTCTGGTTTCAAAGTGAAGCAAGGGAAAAATCAGCACAAAAGCACTCTCAGGAAACCTGGAGGAACAGTGACTGGAAAGCAAACTGAATGCTGAAAGAAGGAAATGCAGAATGACAAAGAAAACCCAACAGATATGTGTGGCGTAAGCAAGGCAAAACACTCGTGCATAACAGGTCTAATTCTCAGGTTATAGCTGACTGTATTTGCAGTTCCTCTCTCTACTTGACATTGGCTGAGCAGGGAATAGCTTGTGGGTCCCAAATAAGCTATTCGTTTTTGAGAACATGTAAGACACAGCTTTTCTTGAAAGAAAGCATTTTGGGGAGCTTATTAATTTCATTAAGATAGTTTCAGTAAGGTAGCCATGCTGGTCTGCATTAGAAGAACAAGATTCAAGTCCAGTGGCACCTTAAAGACCAACAAGGGTCCCTGCCACACGGCAGGGAAAACACTGGCCAAAGTGCGGAAAATTAGAGCCGCACCAAAATAGAGACACTGCGGCGGGATCCCACGGATCCCCTTAGCTGCGGCGCCGTTGCTCCCCGGCATGATCAGATGCCGGGGAGGAAGCCACAGTCGGGAGGGGGAGGCTGCCGAACTGCGCATGCCTGAGCATGCGCCGTTTGGGCTGGAGCCGGCGAAAGGACGCGCCGGCGAAAGGACGCACCGGCGATCCCACAGCCGGCTTTGATGCGGCCGTCTCGGATGAACCACCACGGTAGGTCGTTCATTTTTGCAGCGGGGTTTTGGGTGGAAGGGGCGGATTGGGAATGGGCGCAGCATGCTTCCCAGATGTTGCTGTGGGATCGCGCCCGTTTGCTGTGCCCTCGATCCGTCCCTCTTCCGGCCAAAAACCTCTTGTGTGACCGGGGCCAAGGTTTCATGATGTAAGCTTTCCAGACTCAGATCTCCTTTTGTATCTCACAAAGGCTGCGATCACACACACTAAACAATCCACTTTCAATGCACTTTACAAGTGGATTTTACTGTGTGAACTGGGAAAATCCAGCTGGAAAGGGCACTGAGAGTGGATTGAAAATGGATTATTTAGGGAGCTTTGAGTCTCAAAAGCTTATGCCCAGGAAGTCCTGTTGGTTTTTAAGGTGCTCCTGGACTTGAATCAGATTAATTATACTCTTGTCATCTTTCTCTTTCTGTAGTGGCCACATTGTTTGATAATCAAGTCTTTTGTTTGTTGTTATACTCAGCATCAGATAGATGTGCGCTGGGAACTAAGGATAGCATCCTTCTGAACATGTACAGTGTGACTTCTGGCTGTGAACCTTAGCAACAAAAAAAGAAACAGAAGGAAAAGATTGTTTCAGTGCATAGTGGAGCATAATTTTTTTTCCCAGGTCCAACCACAATCTCACACAATATTAATTTTACCTCTCCAGAGTGCTCATTTCTCATCTCTTTCTTTACATTCTTCAGAGGTTACAAGACTCGGAACACATTTCTGTAAAGCTTTTTTTTTTTCTCCCCTCATATTCTTCTTCCTTGAAGATGGCTGTGGACCACCCCCTAGAAGAAATAATGAAGAGCTCACGGACCTTGCAGTCAAAAAGACCTACTCACATGATGAAGTCGTAACCTACAACTGCCGTCCTGGGTTCATAAAACTTGGACGTATTAGAGTGAAGTGTAACAATGGAAACTGGGAACAACAACTGCCACGTGTTGAATGCCGAAGTAAGTAGCCACATAAAACAGCAACATTCATAAAAGCAGGACATTGAAACCCTTTGAACACTTGAATCTTTCTGAGGGTCAGGTTTTAAGATAGGTCCTTTCTGTATTTTTGAAACTAGAAATGAATTTTCAACCCCCTGGAAGATACTGTATTTAATTGATGCTTTCCATTTCTTTCCTTGGTGGTTTGTTTCCAGATACGGTCTCTTTTTTTTCTGTTTGCCATTTGGATTCCCTTGACTAGATTCCATGCCACATATAGGGAAAGTTTAATCCTGTCCCGTCTAATTGGAAAGGTTAACAATGCCTTTAGTTCTATGTTTTGCTGCAATATCAGAAGCTCGGAGCTGAACAAGGCAATACAAGGAACGCATGGCTGCCACCAAGAGCAATAAACCCTAGTAACATCTAGGTTGGTGGCAACCAGAGAAAGGGTGCTTTCCGTAGCGGCACCTCACCTATGGTATGCCCTTCCTATTCAGGCTCACCTGGCCCCTATGTTGCTCTCTTTTAGGCACCAGGCCAAAATGTTTCTGTTTATCCAGGCCTTTAATTAAGGGGGTTGATGTTATGCCACCATTTTAATAGCGTGTTTTAGTCTGGAAACCTCCACGTGGAGCCTGGATTTCTCCCAGAATTACAAATGATCTCTAGACTAGAGAGATGAGTTCCCTGGGGGAGAGGGCAGTTTTAGAGGGTGGACTCTGTGGCATTACATCCCTGTCCCTCCCCTGCTGGCAGTTCTGCCTTCTCCAGGCTCCACCCTCAAATCTCCAGGGGCTCCCCAATTTGGAGAAGGCAACCCTAAAGCTGGTATTAATTTTAAGTGTCATAACTATCAATATGCCTTAGTTGGCTGTTTCATTCTGGGTTCTAATTAACCATTTTTAACTTGTATGTTTTTATTACATTTTGTTTTGTAACCCATCTTGAGCAGGTTCCCTGAAGAGGCAGCATAAAACTGCTTTAAATAAATACGTATACAAAAGGAGGTGTGTGACGTGATACCGCTCCTTGTGCTCTGATATTGACAACGCTGTCCCAAGCAGAGTTACACGATTCTTCAAAGGACTGAGAAGGGTGTAACTCATCTTAAGACGGTGCTTGAAAAGCACACAGATGGTACTCAATGAAATACCGCAGGATGATGACATGCCTTTTTTTACAACCATCGAGATCCAGACTGGACTGTGTTCTCAACAACACTGCTAATCATCATCAGTATACATAATTCCCAACATAGTCAAATCTGTGGAGATTTGAGTCATGAACAGACAAAACAGATCTTTGTATAAACCTGAAAAAGACCCAGGTTTGCAGAAAAATCTGGGGACTTAAACCCCCCATACAAGCAGTTTCTGTATCTTTAAGACACAAACATCCTCAGTGGCTGGTGCTAGGCAACCAAACAGTATTGTCGGCCTTTAAGGCTTAGTTTCTGTCAGTAAAAGGCAGATAAAACAGTCTTTCCAGGGCTTTGACCTTTGAGAGAGTGCCAGCAACCACAAGGTGACTTGCTGTCACCTGATAGAAGGTAGGTGGGTGGGTGAGTAGGAAAAAATGAAGGAAGCAAAGTTGAGGAGCTTCCGGTGGGTGGATCGGCGATGGCGGTCGCTCTCCTCGATGCCCAAGGAGGCGACTAGCACACCTTCGGCTTGGAGGGGTGCCACCTCAAGTGGCACCCCCACAGAGCCGTTGTGAAGGGTTCTAGGCCAGGGGGCTCTTGAAGGTTATCCTCTTCGACGGCTTGATGCCGGAGAATAGAGGCTTTCCTCCACCATTATGGTCCAGCCGATGGGTGACCTTAGGGTACAAGCCAATCTAACCGGGGCAAGCGCAGGAGATCGAGCAGAATAGTGTATGAAGAGAGCGGGGTCAAGATATGACCAACAATGAACGTGGGTTTGAATTAAATGGACTATTTCTCTAAAATGGATTTCCCCCCCCCCGTGGGAAAAACGGAGTGCAAGGAGGGACGCCTCCTAAGCACTTGAGCAGATTAATGAAGCGAAGGGGGGAGAGGGGAAAGAAACAGCGATTTGTTTTGAGCGACTTACTTGAGCACCGATACTGTACCGATGAGTCTTTCGAGTTCTGGCAATGCGGTTTTGAACTGTAAACAATGGCAGTTTCTCGAGGGAAGCTGAAACCGAAAGGCAGTCGAGTCCAAGACCGGAAGAGGGAGCAGACATCATGAAGATGTTGGCGGATATGCTGAAGTCGGTACTGGAGCAACTCGGTGGTATTAACCAGCAACTGGCCACACGAAACCAAAACTTTGCTCTGCAGCAGCGCCAGCTGGCAGAGACAGAGAAGAAGGTGGAGCATGCAACTGAAAAAAATCACAGAGATAGACACTGCAAACAAGAAGATGAAGAAAAGAGTGACAGATGTGGAAGTTAAACAAAAACTGCAGGAGAATCGTTTGTTGCAGCTGCAAATGGATAAAGCCAACATGATTCTCAGATTTCAGGGAGTGCCTGAAAATGAAAAAGAAGATTTGAAGAAGACTCTGGGTGAGATCATTGCCCCAGTAACAGGCTTACCAGCGGATAAAATAGTCAAAGATATGGAGACTGCCTATCGGGCATACTCCAATTACATTTAAAAAAAACAGCCTGCCAAGGGGAGATTGTGGTCATGTTTGCAAGAAGACAAACCAGAGATGCAATATTAAAGGCAAGTTTGGCAAATCCACTGAAATGTGGGAATTTAACTGTTAAGACTTTAAAAGATATCCCATTTGAATTTCGTCAAAAGAGGAAGAGCTACAAGGAATTAATCTAATTTCTTCAGACAAATGGAATACAGTACAGGTGGGCGAATCCTGAATGTTTCATCTTTAAAATCAACGATAAAAGAGAGAAGATTGACTC